AAAAAAAAAAAAAAAAAAAAAAAAGCAGACCCTGCACTTTTTATCACAGCGTCAGTCTCCAAACGCAATACCTGCAGGACTCGCTAGATGGCCCCTGGCCACAAGAAATGGCCACCAACAACCTCCGAAGGCCCTCAAGAGTCTGCAAGGGCAAAGCTTGATCTTCAGACCTATGAGGCTCCAGTTTCCCTTGGTGCAAGGGCTTTTCCAACCAAACACACCGGTTTTCTCTTTGCAAAAGCCAACGGCTAAGAGCTAACGCCCTCTCACCTAAAGTACCACTGCTGGCACTGCACAAAGAGCAGTTCTACCTTAAAAGCTGAAGGATAACTACAGGGGCAAACAGAAATAAGTCCTTTGGCTTCTCTTTTCCCCTTACTACCAGGGCTGGGGAAGGACATTGCCAGGATTATTGTGTTCAAAGCAAGAAAATCCCAACCACTGGGTCTCACACTCAGGTCACAACTGCGACTTTGAAAGGGCCTCCTGGAAGCACTTGATGGCACTGGTTAACCTGATGGGCAACAGGAACAAACTCTCCTGTATGGAGATGAGTTTGCTGGTCCCTGAGCACTTATTTCAGAGCTGATGTTGCTACCTCCCCCCACCACCTCCCGAGACTTGCCCATGTTACCCAGCACCTGGATTGTCATGCAACTGTGGCTTTCCCATCCTCTCTCCAATGACAGCCTCCATGACCCTCCATCCCTTCCAAGCAAATGCCCAGTGCCCTTGTGCAAGGGCTGGCATTGGTCTAACACGAGGTCAGGCCTTTCTGAGCTTTGCTCAAATCCCTCATGTTTATATCAAGGCCAAAGATGCTTCTGCAACCAGGAAAAGAGGACTTGTGTCTGGCTGTCAAGACCATGGTGGAAAACTGAAGTTGTGTAAAATGGCAGACAAGAGCACCTTCAAATCGGATATATGGAGATTAATTCCTGCTTCATAGTAAGCATCACTGGTATTTCAGTAAGAATTGTCCAGGACACCTCCAATGCTGAGCCTTGCGCAAATGCCACAGGACTGAAAATGTGAAATAAATTATCTGAAAAGAACATGTCATCTATTACTCTTACCCACACTTCCTCTCAAACAAAAAGGTTTCTGCCTGAATAACTAGACCTGCCTGCTTAACTTGACCTGAGAAGGTCATTAATGCACCTCACCCGGTGGTGCATGTGCACTGTGTCCCTGCGTAACAGCAGCCTTCGGGCAAGGCTCACCCTGTGCCACTGGAAAGGGCTGTAAGGGAATGCCTGATTCTCATCATATGATCTCTTCTAAGGGCTGAGCAACAAAACACAAACACATGCAATAAAATTCACCCCTGGTACACAGCACATCACCCTCTGGTGCCTTCAGCATGAGCATGACCTCAGCTCATCCTCCTCCCTCCAAACTTGAACCTGGCAGTTACACACTACCTGTGGGCCAATTCATTTCCCCTTTTGCTCCCCGTGCTGCTCCAGAGATGAGCTGGGCATTAACTGACAGAGAAACACAGAGCTCTGAGGTCAGGCCAGCCGGGGAAGATAGGACCTGCAGCTCTTCCCAGTCTCTGCTTTCCTTCACCAGCCTCGGGTCAGCAAAGCTCAGCTTACTTGCCACCATTACACCAGGTGGACATGGTGAAATAGTTACTTCACTCTATTTTCTCATCTGGATTAAGACCCATCAAGATCTTCTAGATGCTGCATAAAGTTTAGGCAGGTTTGTTTTTTTCGCCTGGACTGGTTCACTCCAAAGTAAAGGAGAGTTCACAGTACAGGAGAAGCCTGGGATAGGGCAGCTCAAACATACTGGACAGGGAGAAACATACGCTGGAATTTTTTATGCACATGCCTTGACTCCAAAACGTCTTTTTTCTCAGCTCCTTTTCCCACATTCCAAGTCCCACACGTTAACTCCCTTAATTCAACTCCAAACAAATCTCCACCAGCTGTTGCCAGACTCCAGGCTGGACATATCCAGGAGGGCAACTACACCAGCACACACAGCAACACAGTTTATCCCTGCAGAAATTCCAAATCACTGCACTGAAGAGGTCACCACGTGGTAAGAGCACCCCAGGACAGTCTGCAGATGCTAACTTCAGCTACCCAGGCTGGAGCAGCCCAGCAACCAGAGGGCCCCAGCTCTGTCCCTGCCTCAGACAGGCTCCTCAGCCTCCCTTCAGCACCTGTCACAATAGGCAGAGCCTAGGTAACCCCTGCAAAACCTGCTCCCAGCCCGGAGGGAAGCAAAGCCTCTTGGCCAGGGCCTGAAACACCCAGTCAAAACCCTCCCCTGCAGCGGGAAAGAACTGACGCAGCCCCATGAAAGGGGAACTGCAGAGACCCTGTGGATCAAGCAGAAGGGCTCCGCTGCTCCCTGCAAAATACAGCTGCACTGGATTCTCTCGGCTTTTGCATACAAAGCCCTTGGGGGGGCTCTGGCTTTTTGCAAACACACATGTTCTGACAAAGCTGCTTAATTTCTGATGGCAGGGAAGGTGAACACTGCAGATTATTACTTTTTCTAGCTAACAGAACTGTGAGGGATAGGAACACATGGCATCCCCAGGCAGCCCGTGGGGAGATACCACTGTGGGTGGGCACTACCAGCCAGACTGCTGGCAGCTGAGCAGAGGGAGGCCACAGCCAGCCTGTCCCGTAGCTTCTTCGCCACAACCATGGCTCTCAATGGCTACAGACACCAGGAATCCCTGGCAAACTGCCCACTTGGAACAGCCATGGACTGGAAATTAAAATCAGTATGGGTGTACAGACTTTGCAAGCTGACACACACAGTTGAGGGTGCCCTGCAGGACAGAAAAGACTGCTTTCTGACTCAGTCCTGGGCCTCACCATGCTTCAGGATGGAAAAGTCCTCAGACAGACGCCCCCCTCGCACAGAGCTCCCTGCCCAGTACACGGGTGCAGCTGAGACAGGAAAGTGGAGGGAGGACCAAGTCTCTTCCAAGCTTCTTCTCGAGGATGGAGCTTAAAGAAGGCTTGCAAGCCAACCACAAAATGAAGCATCAGCCATCTCCCTCAGGGGAGAGCCACGCTTTTAAAAAGGAAGCCCAGAAGCTGAAATTCACACCACTCAGAGGAGGTACGGAGTTTATATCACTGCCCCCTCCTTTCCTGGGCTTGTACATACATACCCATCTCTGCTCCCTCAGGGACCAACAAGACCCTCTTCCCTTGCCAACACTCTCTGTGCCCCATGAGCTCCCCTCTGTTTTCCAGCACAATATCCAACTATCACCAGTAAGCTCAGCTTGGAGCCATCATTCCCAACTCACACTTGGCTCTCAACTGGCTGCCTGCATTTCTTACTCCAAGAGGATATATGTGGAGCAGCCCAGGGTGTGGAGAGGGGATCACACTGGCACACAGCCCAGCACAGAAGTAAGCCAGCCACCTCAGCACTTCAGACAAGCCACCCTCCTCCATCCTAGCAGGGTCTGACCGAAGCAGGCTGCTGGCCCTGCTCTCTTCAGAGGCAGAGGGAGCTGTTGGTTCATGCAGGGATCCACTCTACAGGGCTGAAAATCCTTCCCCCATCCCCTGGGAAATGCTGCTGACACAGCTCTCATCCTCCTGCAGAAATACACCAGTGTACAGCTAAAGGCAACAGCAGGCATGTGGCATTATTAACCTCTCTCTTGCTGCAGTGCCAGGACACAGGGCACTATGAGCCTGTATCTCCCGACAGCCCTGATGCAGGCTCTGAGACAAAGCCCCAGCACAGGTGACTGCCCAGCTTCTGGAGACCAGGATCAGAGCCTCTGGCGGGTTGACACAGGCACAGCAGAAATATCTTTCCTGGCATCAATGCTGCACTCACCAGATCCAACCCACAGAGTAACTGGGCACAGCTGGTGTCTTGCAGAGGACATGGAGCTGCAGCAAAGGCAAAGACAAGGGCTGCAGTGAGGACCTAGGGAGAAGAGGGCATGGTGGCACAGACAGCTCACACCATCTGATGGGAGCGTTCCCTTCCCCTGTTTTAACCCGTGAAGGAAGAACTCCAGCACTCAATGAAGGGACTGACTGACACCCAAACCATTTTAGATGCTATCAAAAGGTTTCCTACCAAATAACTGCAGCGAGATCACTTACCCAGCTGCATCATCATGAAGTCCCAATCATGAATTCCCAAATAGGCAGCCCATAATTCTCTCTAATCCAAGCAGGTTCATACTTGTTTTCTTCTGAGAAAGAAGGGAAATAAAGTTGGCTCCTTTTAGCCATGTTTCCCCTGCCTTCCTCTGAGAAATGTAATCCTACATTGCAGGAGAGAACATTGATTTTTTTTGGTACCACACACCTCAACATACAGCCCTGGGTTTGCTTTCTCCCTTTTTATTCCCATGTTCAGTATCAATTTTTTTCCTCACGTTCCAATTAGTTTACATCTCACTTCCAAAGCCTGAGTGGCTTCTTTTCTAAATGCTATATTTTGGACACCCTGACATTAGTGATGCAGCCATGAAATCCAAAACGAGTAAATTGGTTTTTTCCCTACTGCCTTTTGAAACAAAGCAAAGTCCCAAGAAATGTAATACCTCTTTTTATGAAACCATTTAATCCAGCCAGCTGTCCTTGTGTAAATGCAGAAGAAAATTTACAAGCCTCAAGAAGTTAATCACAGTTTAAGGGGAATCTCTGACAGGGAAGGTAGCAAGGCAGTAACTGTGAGGCTGTGATTGCCAGGAGACAATGCCACAGGAAGACTGGGTAAATTCCGGATGGAGGTTCACGTCTGACTCAGCAGGGTATTGCCTTTAGGCATCTCAGCCTGAACAAGAAAGTAAACAGTTGTCAAAGGCACTGATCACCTACACAGTTACAGGATGCTTCGATAGTTGTTCTTGGGGCTCACTCTACCTTAATCTCAACTCTCCTGGCCTTGTGTTTCCTATGGCAGCTAAAAAACACCTAAGTCCCCACCATATTGAGCGCAGAAACATGCTGCAGTGCCAGGAGGGAGCAAGGCTTAGTGGCCTTTCAGTCACAAGGCAGAGCAGGAGTCAGTCTCTCCTCCTCCACACCCACCTCTTCGCCTCAGCTGGCAGGGTCCTGCCAGGGCATTCTCCATCCCACCCAGTGCCACAGGGCACCACAGGCTGGGGAGCACCAGGCCCTCCTCTCCTCCACCCAAGGAGGGCACAGAGCCTCCTTCAGAGCCTAAGCACATGGCAGCCCTCTACTACTGGGCCTCTCACACATTTAAAACCACGGCAATACCTAAGCACCCACAGCCCAGCAAGATCCTCCCATGGACAGCTCCAAGGACCACGCTAAATGCCACAAGTGGTCCTTCCCTCCAACTTCTCCAGGCCAAGAAAAAAAGCCCTCATGTGCTTTACCTGGTCCACAACAGCTTGGTTGGTATTTGCAGCTTCTGGCATCATTTGGCAGCTCTGTTTGCAGTGGGATGGGTCTCCCTGGCTCCTGGTTTCACAGCAAATTGGTCATCCAAAGTCCCAGCAGGTCCAGTACCTCTCCTGCAGGACACTTTCAAACACCAACATCTGGTTCTGTGATTTAAAGCAAAGGAGAGGAAGGACCAGAGGAAATGGCCTCAAGTTGCACCAGGGAAGGTTTATATTAGACTGTGCTGTCTCAGCTCCAACTACATCCTCCTTCCCTGCCCTCCAGCATGCAGCCCCTAAGGGCAAAACCAGTAATCTTTACCTTTTCACCTCTTTCCAATATTAATAATGACTAGATAAAACATATCAAAATAGATTACATCAGGAAAGTCATGTGGACTGTGATCTGTAATGTCAGTTCTAACAGCTGGTGTACTTCAGATTCTAAGCAGCTGAAATTTCTCTTACAGCCAACTTGAAAATTAAAACTATTCTCACTAGCCAAGAATTTTTCTCTAAGGACAGAAAACTGTTGGTTCAGAATCTGAAGGTTCTTACTCCTAACTGCACTCCTGCAAGTGAGGAAAGGAATGAGTAGTTGAACTTTAAGACCAGGCTTTTTTTCCTGGCAGGTTCTGTGCTTTTCCAGAGAAAGTGGGTGGGAGGGTTAGAAGTTTATTTGAAGGCTGAGACTGGTTCTACAGGATCCTAGTTATTTAGATTTTCCATTACACCGATCCATCACAAATGCAAGGCTTTTTTTTATTATTATTCAAATTGTTCAAATTAATCTGATCTAGTACTAAACAAATGCAGGAAAGGCTTTTGCCTTTACAGTCATTTCATCCATGTCTCTTGATTATGTTTCCCTATATTGCCCAATTCCAGATGGTGTATGCTTTTGGCCATTTGTTTCATGTTCAGAAACTTTGTTTTCTGTCTGTTGTTTTCTTCCACGTATTTGATATTTCTCAGCATGACACAGTTCTGCTGCTGTGTTTACTGGGAACATTCTTACATGCCCATGCTTTGTGCTAAACCCTGGCTACTATGACAGAAACTCCAAGTTAGTTTCTCAAATTTGGAAAACTTCCCTTCTGTAATTGTCAGTGAGGCTTGAAACTACTCCCATTGGCTTATAAACCAAAGCCCTTCTCATGGTTACTGAAGAAGGTTGTGGGGTCTGATGTCTTTACACTTGAGTTTCATAGTTGTCTTCATCAGCAAATAATTTAAATACAGGGTAAGCAGCAGCAGGCAGAGAATTCACTCTGAGAATGAACCATTTCCTCTGAACCAAAAAACTAATGGGACCACAGGTCTTCATTTTTTAGAAGTTTTGTAAGGTTCTTGGGAAGATTATCCCTAAATTGTGACTACAGAGAAAGGGAATTTGCATGCGTATCAGCAATTTGCCAAAGCAAGTTTTGGCAGAACCGGGAGGAGGTGAAACACTGAAACCCCAAAACTGTGCTACCCCTGAATCCCGTTGCACTATACCTGTGGAGGAGATGGAATTCAACCTACACATGGGCTTTAGTGTGTATCTCCCACCATGCTGCCAGCAAGCCAGATGGAACAGAGGGAAGATGCAGAATGTTTCTAGAGGAAAACGCAAGAATACATGGTAAAAAAAAAAAAAAAAAAAAAAAAAAGATAAATACGGTATTGAAGAAAGTACTAGTTAAGAAGGAGCAGTGGGAATAAATGGATGAAAGGGAACATTTGTGATGGCCTTGAAAGGCTACTCAAAGAAAATGGAACACTTTTAGCACATCCTAATCCACACTGAATTAGTGCTATGAAGGTTGACAAGTGTGAAAAGATCTGTCAAAATATTTTTTTAAATGACCAGCTCACATCATTGCAATTTTTTGTTTCAGATTTATGAGGGAACTGCTCAGATTGAAAGGGTGATTGCAGCTTGTGGTCGTGTTGCCAAATACAAGGCTAAGAGAAATGTATCCAGCATGTCTGGTGCTGCTGCAGTGTTCTGTGTTCTCAGGGAAGAGAATATTAGTGCATTTCTCAATACAACTAGAAAATTGTGGAAAAACCCCTTTTCCTTCAAAATCTTTCCATTGTGCACATAATTAAGCACTACTTCTGTACTACCCACCCATTCCCTCACTTCACTCCTGACTAACAAACTCAGCGTTTTCTAAACATTTCTGAATTCCAAAATGTATGGTGGTTATCTCGCCCCACTCTCTTTCCCTTATATCTTTGGCTTTTGGTGGGAAAAGAGGTAAAAACCTTCCCTGTAAAATTTATATGACCAAAAAGTGAACAAAATTATTATTTTTTATTGTCTGTGATAGCATCCAGCATGTAACAAGGAACTGAACTTTAGGTGTTTCCGTATTGTTTAGAACGATACAGATTTGCCTCCACTATTTTATCACAGGAATTGGGTGGATATCAAATTAGTAAATCTCAAGGAAATCTATTCCTCTTCTTCAGGAATACCATGTTGCAGCACACTGTCTCTAGGTCACTACTTGATAAAATAAATATGCTAACTCTGTGGTTTTGTGGCCTCTAGAAATTTGCATCTTTTAAAAAAACTGAAAGTGACTATATCTTTCCTTCTGGACCTTTCAAAAACATACATTCTCATAAATTACAACACAGATTGGTGTTATTTTTCTCAAACGGTGTCCAGATTATCTGTATTTTACACACATTCATCACTATGAACAATAATTGGTTTTTGTTTTCATAGGGTTTCTTTTCAGGGACAAAACCATCTTACTCACCTGAATCTAGCAAAGACAGAAATTGTCATTAGGTGCATTTAACTCTGTGCCTCAAAGGAACCTGTAACATATATATAAAGAAAATCCTTGTTTTCTTGTACCTTAAGCAAGATGACTTCTTTATAGATGAATGATAAATACAACTCTTGAGAAACAGAGATACAGGTTTTTATCATAGTGGAAAAAAGAAATATGATCACCCAGTTTTAAATGTGTTTGTTTTCATTTTAACTGATCCCACAGGAAAGAACCTGTAGGAAATGGCCTTATTTTCAGTTACAACTATGCTGTTCTAAACTCAGATACCCAAATACAGGAAAGGGCAAGAAATGAGAACCTGACAACACAATGGATTTTCACTGTAAAATTAGATGATCAAAATGTTATTTCTGACCATCATTGCTGCATCCTATTAAAAATCTATTTATAAGCAGAGAGGTGTGGTTGCTTTTATTCCTTTTGCTTGTCACATAATTTAAATTGTATTTCAGGCAATTTGTCCAGTGCCTTAAGTATGTTACAGCTGTACTGCGGTTCTGGCTACGCTACAGCCCGCAGCAGCTGAACAGCCCTCCCAGCTCAGCAGGACCAAGGCGGCATTGTGTTGGTTTTCTGGAGTTAGATACTATGCATTACTAACAGAATATCAGCTTCAGAAAGCGTGGCCTCTTTCACTACTATGCTTCTTAAGCAAGTAAATGTTCAATTAGGATGATTCAAGTGAAAGGGGGTAGCTTCTCCTTAAGGGTGACTTACAGCATCACATTTATTTCACATCTGGTATATTTAAACCTATTACTCATTTCCATCAGTATATATACTTAACTATGTTTCTTGAGAAAGAGGAATTTTTTATTTTTTTTTTTTTACCCCAGACAGGCCCTTTTTTCAGTGCTAGCAGAATGCATCTTCCCTGGCCTTCCTGGGAAATTGCTCGGTGCTGGTGAAGCCACACCACACCTCAGTGCTGTGTCCAGTGCTGGGATCCCCAGTATAAGAGAGGAATGGACACACTGGAGAGAGCCCACGGATGGGCCGTAAAGATGATGGAGGGTCTGGACCATGAGGCTGAGCAAGCTGTGGCTGTTCAGTCTGTTGAAGGCTCAGGGGCACCTTAACAATGTGTACCAACACCCGATAGGATGGAAGGTAACAGAGGGAGCCAGGCACTCCTCAGTAGCACCCACCAACAGAGCAAGAGGCAATGGGCACAAAATAAACACATAAAACTGCAGCGCGTGGAGGAAGCAAGCAGCCGATTCAATGTGAAGCTTCAACTTTATTGAAAGAAATCACACCTTAGATAAGCACTCTACAATAATCATGCATATTACTCACAAATCTATTGGATACATGTAAAAGGCTACATTATAATATCCCAGCCCCTTGTGGTATTTCAGGTATGCATAAACCCCTTTCTTCCTTTGAACCTGTTTTCTCCCAGGGCCGTTCCTTTATTATACACAAGGCCATAATGTCCCTCAGTTTCTCTCTTTGTTAACACAACAGTCCTTTGTTAGCATAACTGTACCCTGGGTTTTTTCCTTTGTTTACCTCAGGTGGCTGCAATTAGCTCCTACAGAGACCCATGGCCTTGCTCTCTGCAAGCTGTTCTCCAACATAAAACCCCACCTGAACACAAGAAAACACAATTTATTTTTTTACTGTGAGGGTGGGTCAAACACTGGCACAGGCTGCACAGAGAGGTTGTGGAGCCTCCATCCTTGGAGTTACCCAAAATTCACCCAGACATGGTCCTGTGTAACAGGCTCTGCTTGAGCAGGGGAGCTGGACCTGTTGACCTCCAGAGACCCCTTCCCACCCGAACCCCTCCGGGAATTCATTTACAGCCGCTCACTGAAACGCCCTTGCTCCACCACAGTCCCTGGCACCCCTGCTCTGAATGCAGGGCTGGACGGTACAAATCCTGTTGCAAGGTGTAAAGTCTGAATTGCTCAATGAAGCACTTCATGGCTGTAAACTGCCACCTGATACCTGTGATACAGAGAAATGATTACTTGTTTTGAGACTTATTTACTTACTTATAGAAAACTGCTTAGCAACTTATTTACTTACTTATAGCAAGTTATAGTATTACTTTTTTTTTAATATTGCTAAGACTCCTGCTTGCCCAGACTGTTCTGTGGAATTTTACCAAGGACTACTGTGTTAATCAAAACAAAGCAGTTCACTGTGAAAATCTACCAAGAACTGCAGTGTTCAGCAAAATAGCATGGTTTTGTTCTTGGGAAACAGAGGTGCTCTAACTAGTTGGAGTCTTGGTAATGAGTAAAGATAGCCATATACGGATAGTAGAAGTTCTATTGGTTCTCTTACATAAGATAGAATGAGTTAACCGGCTGAAAAACACTTTTGTTAGTCAAGAAATTGGCCAAGAGAATCTGCTCATGCTCCAGGGAAAAACAAGGTGAGAAAGACTACGAGTCTTCCTCCCGAAGACCCCCACGAGTTTAATTAGGAGAAAAAGGGTTTATTTCTGAGGGGAAGCGCGGCAGCACGGCCCTGCCCCGGGGCTGGCTCCGGCACCGGCTTCTCGTCAGAGCCGCGGCGAGCGCTTTGGGAGGACCCGGCGCCAGGGCATCCCGCCGACCGCCGGCTGCTGCCCGCCCGCGGCACC